GATATGGTGTACATCATCGGTTTAGAGGTTACTTTCCTTTTATCTATATCCTACACAATCAGCTACAAATTTAAGAAACTACTAGAACTGGGCATAGGCCTGTCAGCTGAAAAGGGATGGGTGGAAATAAAACTTTTGAATGTATTCATACCAATTTCTTGATGATGAACTTTCCTGAACACTTGTTAACAATTCACATTTCATTCGCTTTTAAAGGGGTTATGTCAAATATGACTTCTTCCGATTGTATGCCGTTTCATATTTCCATACTTTTGCGGACATATTTCACTTGTATATGTCATTGTAATTACAAATCTGACTAGTTACAAAGAATTATAAAGAGGAAGGGCCAATTTCTTCAGAATTTATATCACTCAAGGGCCATTTTGAAAAAAAAGTTTCTGAATTTTCATTAACATTCTAAGTATCATCGAATAAAATGAAGTCCTACAAATGCCTCAAAACTGCAATTTTGGAATATAATCGCAAATTTTGAGGGTTAAAAAAATGAATCAGGACATGCCTCAGCTAAACGAAAAATCGGAAGTGAAGTTGTGTATTTAAAAAAAAAATTGGTTGAGAATGACAGCTGTCCTTTAAGGCAAAATTTGACAAAACACGTAACATTGTCATCTGATGTCAACTTTGGTTGAGGGAGTTGGACCCTTAGTTTCTTAATAATTGTTTAATTCATCAACGGTGAACTTACGAAAAGTCTGTTATCAATCATGTCAGTACAGAAGCACTGACTACTAAGCTGATGATACTCTCAGGGACTAACAGCCAACCAGCAGTGGTGTCGACTCTGTAATAGTAAATGTGAACAAAAACACTATTAATTTCTTGCATCCAAATCGCTTTTCTAGTTTAACTTCATCGGGACTTTTATTGTAGTTGTGATTAACTTTTCTGTCTATATTTTTACTTTGTTTTTATTCTGTAATAAATTGTATCTGTTCTAAGTAGAATTTGTTTTGTACGTCCTGACTGGAGACGCAATATGTAATGTCTCGTTTTGGTAGAATAGACATGATATTAATTATTACCTGAAACATCACGAAAAACAAAACAGAAACTCAGGCATACGAAACACGAACCTAACCAAAACAGGTGTAAACATTTGTGTTTTGGAAGGATAAGCAGTTCCTACTCCGAGTTGTGTCATTGAAGTTGCTCTCTACAAGTAGAAAATCACATGTAAGTTGTTGACCATAATAATGTAATATGCAAAATGTAATAACTTTTGCCCCTTCATAATAGTACTTATTAAAATGACAGACAACAAGGACAGATCCAGTATAAACAATACACAATTTGCTAAATTGTCCATAAAAAAACTCATCATAGATACCCGGATTGAAATTTTGTACGCCAGACGCGCGTTTCGTCTACAAAAGACTCATCAGTGACGCTCTATATACATATATAAAAAAAGTTAAAAAGGCCAAATAAACATACGAAGTTGGAGCCATAATATATTATTACAAAAAAATCTTTTAATTGTATATTTATTAAAATGACGGAACACAGATAAAGATCAAGTATTTAAACACAGTATTTGCTAAACTGTTAATAACACATTAATTTGCTACCCAAAGTTGATTTGTCCATACCACCTTTAAACAGGAAATATACAGTTTATTTCATTTTCTGACGATGACTTACCTGTTTCACAACCAATGGGAGATAACTCACAATCGTTGCAAAAGTAATAAGATGACACTTTGAGTTATGTCCTTTCACAACGATATGTCTTTCTTTCGAGGAAACACCCTGACGAAACCCAGTTACAATGAAACGTGCTTCGAGGAATAAAATAATAACCTTTGTGAAGTCATCATTTTCCCCGATTAAAATGCAAACTACAGTTTGTTAAAACATTTAATTCAATGGATAGTTATCGTGGCGTTTTACTGAACACTTTTCCATCTTTAATATTCTTTAAGGTATAAAGTACATGAAGAAACAATCCTTCCCTCCATTTATTTGATTGAAATACTAGTACCAGAAAACATCGACACAAATTATGTGAAGTTTTGTTAATTCTTTGCTACAATGAACGGACATTATGGAGATAAAATTAATAGTACAAGACTTTTATATAACTCTTTTTTAATACTAAACACATTTTATCACATTCATGTGTAGGATTATTGAAAAATAAAAGTATAAACATAAACCCTTGTTGATTCACAACGTATAAGAAATCGCACTGTGACGTATGAATGTCTTTTTATTTGTTTTAATGTTACATGTACGTAACGATTTTATTCTCTCTTCATGCTATAGTACGTTATTTTTTTTTACAAATTATATATAAAATATATAAACCTTTTACACTATCAAATTACTAAATATTCTCTCTCTATAAGGGAACAGCCATGTAATTTTATAGCGGGGTCGGACGGCTATAATATTCTAATTCTCAGGGGCCTCAATGGCCGAGCCATCTTAGTCTGTATCACTAGAAGTTGTCCACACTGAGATTTCGAGTTCGAATCCGCACGTGGCAGGTGCGTTCGACTCCAATCTTAATTGAATAGGATTGTCAGTTTTCCTCTCGAAGGTCGATGGTTTCCCCCGGGCACTCCGGCTACCTCCACACACAAAAAACTGACCGCCAAGATATAGCCAATAGTGTTGAAAGTGGCGTTAAACTACAACATTCAATCAAACTTATTTTCAATTTTTGGAGAAAAATATTGAATTGCCAGACAATAGACGAAAACAATTATTTTAAATAATTGCATTTTAAGTCGTTGACAAAAATTATCCGCGGGAAAAATTTAATGAAATCAGATAAAAAAACATAGCATCATCCCCCACCATTTATAAAGTTATTATTATAAATTACTTACCAAGTGACTTGTATTTTTCATACACCTAACAATTCGTTTGTTTACTTGCTTCTTGCAATTACAGTTAAATTTTTATTTAACTGGACAGTAATTACTAACGTGTATATCTAGATTGGTGAGTTTTATGGGCGTGGTTATACCTACACGCATAAGAAATGAATATCCCACTTTAAAGTGATCGGTAAAATGCGAAGTAATTCCCTGCAAATCTTTGCAGAAAATAATATTGTTAAACAGTATATAAGTCAGAAAATGAATATTTGAAGGTTTTTCTTGTCGTATAACACACATTGGGGTGTCGGGATTGACAAGAGATAGACCGCATTACGATCCATTTCACAAAACCTAGCACCCCTCGGTATGTTGTAAGACAACAATAACCTTAAAATATATACATGGGCCTTTTATAGCCGACTATACGGTATGGATTTTTCTCTTTGTTGAAGGCCGTACGGTTGTCTATAATTGCATACTCCACTTCATTTGAACATGGGTGGATAGTTGTCTCATTGGAATCATACCACATCACCTTATTTTTTATATCATCTATAACATAATTCCGGAAAAAAGATACGGACATATTTTTGAAGCAGTAAAGACCGACGACTTTTGAAACACACTTAAAATGCAAAATGTTTAAATCATTAGAAGTTAAATAGATGTATATCACATGAATTTTTATAATATTCTCTATAATTATTATCAAACGTCCAGTAATTTCTGGCGATGGTTGAAGCGAAATGTTTGATACTGAAGGGAATTGTTGATTAAACCAAAGTGGTATGACCAGTTTTCCAACTATTTGTTCAAGACGACCAAATTCGAAAACTTTATAAAATAAGTAAAATATATATATAAAGAGTTTTGAAGATGCTCAACAATTATACATATATCTATAAAGTTTGTAAGATATTGCATCGAAGGACACCCGAAATCCAAATGAATATTTACTTTGCTTTTGAAACATGTTCGTCAATGCGCGTTTTTTTGCCCAAATAATTGTGGTTTTGGTTTAAAGTGTCCTTTTTGGTTTTGTTTTAGATCACCAATACTCAAAATTTGTCAATTTCGTATCAGTTTTGATCATCTTTAAGTTTTTGCAATCAGACTACCTGTTCAAAATATAATATTTTAGAACTTCAAAGGAAAAATTTGAGGATAATTCCTGTGAGGTTAAAATAAGATTTAAAATCTTTTGCAAATGACCTATAGTGTGAACTTTTTCAGGAAAAAAATGAATCTACCTCTTTGATCGTCATAAGAGCTTTCCGGAATTGCTCTTAATCGGTAAATTTTGTATCAAATCTTTAGAAAGGCAACGTGTATACATGAATAAGTACAACGACGGCACTTTGTTTGTACAGTAAGTATATTGTTTGTACATAATACTCGGACTTAACCTTTTCGTTCGATAGACTCTTGCTATGGGAGCATCCATTTGGTTTTGGGGAATGAATAATAAATACGCAACCACGTCCGATCGAAATGTGGACGTTTAATGCACGTTTGGAAGCTCTACGTACTTTACATTGTATAAAAACCCTTTGCTTTCTCTTTAGGGGTCCGTCGCTGACCCATGGCAGGATATAATTCTGCCCTTGTCAAACATTTTATCATTTTCGATTGACAGTTTAATTTCTCGTCCTTCCTTCCAGTTGACCTACTTTGCAGAGCCTAAAATATTAATTCATTGTATGATTTTGTTCTCGTTCTTGAAGTTCAATAAATATTTGCAAATGGACATAAAGAAAACAACGATAAAATCACTATTTTGAAAAAAAAATATTTCAATGTTGCATACGAAAAACTAGATCCCCTATGCGTTATGAAACCTAAAAAAAAATCAGTAATTATCATTTGAGAAATTACAAAAAGGTATGTCAATGATCAAAACACAGCAAATAGATGGGGGATAGGCCCGGGACAAACATTCCACCAGCAGTGTTATTGAACCAAACTATTATGATAGTCAAATCTAAGTGAACCATATTAAATTGAATGTGCTGCTTTCAACGGTATTCACCATAACGTAAATGTGTTCTTGATCGCAATTACTATTTCGCAATTATGACGCAAACGTAGTTCTACATTGGGAAGTTTTCCAAATGGTGTTTCTCACATTAGATAAAAGGTGATAGGACATAATACAAGAACTTTAGTTGTCATATACTTTAAAGCAGCAACAAGATGAGGATCAGTATTGTATTTATCTCTTTTTGTATTGTTCTTTGCAAGGTAAGACGATTTCACAAGCCCAACAATGAAACACTTGCATATATTTCGATAGACAAAACTTATTTTATTTGTGACATTAGGTTGGAAGTTATTCTCTTTCAAAAATCAAACATGTAAATTATCGTCATGTTACTATATTTCTTCCAGGACATTGCTTTAATGAGACCAAAAACGGAGGACGTGATGATGTAAAACAGTTTAACTACACCCTTAGTAATTGTTTGTGAAATCTTTGGAATAAAGGTGTAAGATCGTGGGAGGAATGAACTTTATTAGACGTGTGTGAGATAAGATAATGTCCAGAACGTTGACACGATTAATATGGCTTTCCACAAACAAAAAGAATATATATATAGGGACATAAAAAGTTATTTGCAGATCTATTTTGAATAGTCAGATATAACAAATAATTATCCAGTTCTTCGGAACCTGTTTACTCGAGAATTAATTCCTTTAAAAGAGTACTCATTTTTGCAATGAGTCTTGACATCCTTAAGGTCACCTTAAAATCTACTAGTTTATGAGATTTTGCAAACGTGGGATGGCAAACTTTATGACAGACATTGCTAGGTCAGTGCTTTATAATATAAATCCAAACATATATTTGGTAAAAAAAATAACATCAGTAATATGTAAATGTTTTATAGAATGATTCGACATTTATGGAAGGTGTGGACATGTGGACAAGTTATCATTATTTTGCTTAATTGCGATTATAAACGAAAGAAAATTCTCAACAAAATGAAAATCCTGTGCATTTGAAAGCTCAGTAGGGTACTAGCAAGAAAAAGACCATGGAGAAAAAAATCAACTCACTCACTAAATGAAAATAACACTTTATTACTTAGTTGTGTCCGAAGCGCTTTTCTAGGTTTACTTCCACCAGAAACGCCCAAAGCCAAAAAACTGAAATCAAAGAACGCTTAAGAACTTGAAAACATGACTAACTATATGACCAAAAAAGGATCTTAATAGAATAACCGAATCCATTGAAGTTCAACTTTGCCAGAGGGAGTAGGAATTTTAGTTTCTTATCGATTTCTATATTTATGAAAGGAGAATAAACAAAAAGTGTGTTATTAATAGTGTTAAATGTAGTATAGAAGCACTTACCCTGAGCTGATATCACCCTCGGGGAATAACAATCAACCATTGGAGATATCGACCCAGTGTAAGTAAATGAAAATAACACTTCATTGATTAGAAGCGCCTGCTATAAATTCTGGAGCAACTTACGTTGATTTTAAATACCGCGGTAAAAAAGACTGACACATGCAGTTATCGCATTATGTAATCTGTCAATGCAATTTTACTATAAATGCAAAATTAAGAGAGATTCACATTTTCGGTCTATTTGCTATTGATAAAAATGGACTGTCTTATCAATACTGACCTACTTTATGAAATACTTGTTGATCGAATTCTGAAGATAAAAAGATTATAACATAAATGCTACAAATGAAATATGTTTTTTTTACTTTTGAAATAATTTCATCAATGTGTTGAAGATAACTTATATTAAGGAGGCATATTAATAAAAGTAAGTGCTTCTCACCAGTATAACATTTTAATATAATAAAATTTAAAAGCTGTTCCGACCATTTAAGCAATGGAATATTGCCTGTCAGTTTTTATTTGTTCGATTCATTTTACATAGACTTGTTTTCATGAGCCACAACTCTGAATCTGCAAAATGACTTTTAGACATATGTTGTGACGAAATGCATTTCCTAGATTTGTATTTTTGAGTTCTGTTTTAGGAGTTTTGCTATAATCTAAAAGAAATAAGAATTCATATCTTGTATTTGATTTGTTTTATGTTATGTCGCGCATGCAAATTAAACTCCGTGAATCTTTAGGTGAATGACAATTAACCATGGTAACACTCAATTCTGTAAAACGGTTCTCAACTAAAGTTTCTACATAAATAATGTATTTGTCTGAAACGTACAAAAATCTTTAAACAGCAATTTTGCCAACATTATAAATTCTTAGTTGAACCTGGACAAGGAATCAGGGATATGCATAATGGATACATTCCTTATTACTTAAAAAAAATTCCGAAATTCTATGACATACGATTTAGATAGAACAATATCCCTATTGACAAGCCAGTACCCAAGTACCGTCAGTCTGGCTACTGGGCTGGTGAAATCATCAGGGACTTACACTCTACCAGCAGAGGTATCGACCCGTCAGTCTGACTACCGGGCTAGTGAAACCATCGAGGACTTATAGTCCACCAGCAGAGGTATCGACCCGTCAGTCTCATTACTGGGCTGGTGAAACCATCGAGGACTTACACTCGACCAGCAGAGGTATCGACCCGTCAGTCTGATTACTGGGCTGGTGAAACCATCGAGGACTTACACTCCACCAGCAGAGGTATCGACCCGTCAGTCTGACTACCGGGCTAGTGAAACCATCGAGGACTTATAGTCCACCAGCAGAGGTATCGACCCGTCAGTCTGATTACTGGGCTGGTGAAACCATCGAGGACTTACACTCGACCACAGAGGTATCGACCCGTCAGTCTGATTACTGGGCTGGTGAAACCATCGAGGACTTACACTCCACCAGCAGAGGTATCGGCCCGTCAGTCTGATTACTGGGCTGGTGAAACCATCGAGGACTTATAGTACACCAGCAGAGGTATCGACCCGTCAGTCTGACTACCGGGCTAGTGAAACCATCGAGGATTTATAGTCCACCAGCAGAGGTATCGACCCGTCAGTCTGACTACCGGGCTAGTGAAACCATCGAGGACATAGTCCACCAGCAGAGGTATCGACCCGTCAGTCTGATTACTGGGCTGGTGAAACCATCGAGGACTTACACTCGACCAGCAGAGGTATCGACCCGTCAGTCTGATTACTGGGCTGGTGAAAACATCGAGGACTTACACTCCACCAGCAGAGGTATCGACCCGTCAGTCTGACTACCGGGCTAGTAAAACCATCGAGGACTTATAAAGTCCACAAGCAGAGGTATCGACCCGTCAGTCTGACTACCGGGCTAGTAAAACCATCGAGGACTTATAGTCCACCAGCAGAGGTATCGACCCGTCAGTCTGACTACCGGGCTGGTGAAACCATCGAGGACTTACACTCCACCAGCAGAGGTATCGACCCGTCAGTCTGACTACCGGGCTAGTAAAACCATCGAGGACTTATAGTCCACCAGCAGAGGTATCGACCCGTCAGTCTGACTACCGGACTGGTGAAACCATCGAGGACTTAAAGTCCACCAGCAGAGGTATCGATCCGTCAGTCTGATTACTGGGCTAGTGAAACCATCGAGGACTTATAGTCCACCAGCAGAGGTATCGACCCGTCAGTCTGACTACCGGGCTAGTGAAACCATCGAGGACTTATAGTCCACCAGCAGAGGTATCGACCCGATGGTAGTAATAACATTAATGGTACCAATTTCATTGCACCAGATGCGCATTTTGACAATTAATGTCTCTTCAGAGTTGCTCGGAAATATGTTTCAAATTGAGTTGAAAAATCAAGACATCAATTTGCTAATAACAGGTTGGTCATTGTATACGGGGTTCTGGACGTTGTTTAGTGGACAGCGTTTTTTTCTGTTTTTTTTTAACTGATTTGATATCTATTTCAATTACTAGCTTGTTACAATATCCTTCAAGAGTCCAAGCTCCTCCTCATGTTCCCTTTTTACATTCCACTAATTACTCAGGGCAGTAATTAGTTGTAAAATATCACTCATAATGATTGTTCAAATGTTTCTAATGGTTACTATATATCTTTATTCTCAAACAGCCAAAACATAACATCGGTACAGAGATACTTAAATATTATTTTGAATTGTCACACTTACTCTTCTATTGAATTCATTAATAAAAATTGAAAAAAACATTGAAATTTTTTGTCTTTTGATCAGATATGTAATACGCTTTGTAAATTGAAAAACTAACAATTGTTAAAAAGTAGTTAAAGCCAAAATATTCTTCGTCAGAAATTCTATATCCAAACACTAAATGTTTTAATTTTATCTTAAAAGTTATTTTACTCCTCTTTAAAACTTCATTTATTTTATTCCAAAAGTTTTCTAAATACGGACACAGTATAAAGAAGTGGTCGTAATATTCTTCTTGTGTACAAAAGTAACAAAAACTATTGTTTGCAATTTTCAACCTGAATAAAAGTTTCTTTGTAGGTAGAATATGTTGTAGTAATTTTCATCTAAACGTTTTAAGTTTATTTTCTTTTAAATATTTGAATACAAATTCATATAAATTGTTTTGATATAACACGTCATCTTTATTAAGTATACGCAGCCATTTTTTTGGTCCAATAGCTGGTTAAAAAATTTTATTTATCAGAGACTTAGTGCTTTTATAGAATTTTCCGACTTTAAGATGGCTGCCCAGTCTTTTGGTATTGATTTCTTTACTAAATTAATTCCAGCTATCCAGTTTGATTTATTTTTTAGTTTATTCAAAATAACATCTTGTGAAACGCAGCCTTTTCATCTATGATATCATTTACATAAATAAGATCGCTTTTAATCCAATATTTTAAAACTATAGCTTTATTTTCAAATTTAATTAATTTATTGATCCATAATATTTGTTTTCTTATATCTGTAAATGTTTCAGGCTTTTTCGTTTGACCCCACCAGTTATTTTCCAACATTTAAGGATAGTTTTATAAATAGCTGGGATTCTTTCAAGGCTTTCTTCTGGATTATCCCCACTGATTGTTTGAAACACTAGCCAGTTTGACCCAAAATTTATAAAAATAGTGCTGAGGTATAATTTTCGAATCCTTCACAATCATTTACTAGTCTTTTAACCCACATAGCTTTTAAAGCAATGAAACAACTTCTTATATCTATCATATATAATCCCCTCTTTTCATATGGATCAATGATCAAATGTCTTTTAACTTTATCTGATTTATTATCCCAACGAATTTAAAACAACTTTTTTCTATTTCTTTCAAATATTTCTCAGGACCTATACAAGTAGTTCCTATAAAGTGAATATAGGCACAATTAATGTTTTAATTATCAATTTTTCCCCAAAAATAGTAAGATTTCTGTTCTGCCAAGAACAAAATAATTTATTCATCTTTTCAATTTTATTTTCCCAATTCAGTTTTTCTCATTCCTCTCTACATTGCCCAAAATATATGCCAAGAGTTTTAGCTAGTCCATCGCTCCTGTTGATTCCCCTTATTTTGTCTTTACATGATTTTAGCTTTCCTACCCATAACCCCTTTGTCTTATTTCTGTTTTATTTCAATCCAGAAAAAGAACCAAAGATTTCAATTCCATTTCATTCATGGCTAATTGAACGTCGTATTTGGAACAACAAAATAAAATAGTATCATCTGCTAGTTGCGAAATTTTTATACTACGATTGTTGCCATTCAGTTTGATATTGATACCTTTAAAATCGGTATTTCTTCCTAGTCATGACGCCATGATTTCAACAGAGAAAACAAATAGTAAGGCAGATAAAGGACATCCTTGTCGTATACCCCTGGTGTTTTTAAAGACATCAGATATCCAACCATTGTTCATAACACATGTTTGAATATCGCTATACAAAATTTTTACCCATCTTATAACAGAATCATTAAATCCAAGATGTTTTAAAACTGAAAACATAAAATACCATTCTAAAGAGTCAAACGCTTTAGAAAAATCAACAAAGACTATTGCCCCTTCAATTTTGTATAAATCAGTGAAATTAATATCAATATCTTGTATCTGATCTGTCTAAGATTAAAACCAATAAATCTATTGTTTACATATCCAGTCTGATCTTCTTTAATAAGCTTTGGTCGGATCTTTTTCAATCGTTGTGCTAGAGCGTACGAAAGAAGTTTCATGCCAATATTCAAAAGAGAAATAGGGCGATAATTATTTAGTGATAAGGGATCACCCTTCTTAAATTAAAGTGTTAATACACTTCTACGCTGTGAATATGTAAGTGTCTGATCTTTATATCCAATATTAAGAATGTTTACTACTTTGTACTTTAATTTATCAATAAAATTCAAAAAAAAAAACGTCAGATGTGTAATCACATATGCCGAGGTTAAATATAATAACCAAAGCGATTTTTTAAAAATATTTTGGACTTGCACAAGGTCAAGTTTTTTATCAGACTTATCATGCGACCTTAAACTAAATCCCTAAATCCGTTGGATGTGTACTGGTTGATATTAGAGTCCGGGAAAAAAATCTTTACTTATTAGTTGAATTGGCTTTGAACTAGCTCTTAGTATCTGCGGGTACTCTTAGATTGTTTTTTTGTTTGTTGTGTTTTTTGTTCTTCGTTTCAATCTGATTTTAGTCAATCCCTTTTCAAATGAATTCTACAGTATATGACAAATGTGTTAAACATGGTTAGTCTGGATCCCTTTAACAACTCGAATGTTAACTTGAATATATTTATATCGTTTCTTGGAAGGTTTATTCGAAGAAGGGAATATTAAGTAATAAAAAACAAAAAAAGTCTATATGTTTTCTCCAAATTTATTTTGCGTCTGGAAGGACGCCGTATCGTTCCAACTTTTTGGACTAGGTCTACAAGACTAAAATTGTTAACACGAACAAACTGTCTATATGTGAACCAAGTCTTATATAGAATGAATTTTAACGAGAGTCCCACCTGTCAAATGTGTTCCAGAAGATTTGACGAGTCCATTGAACACTTCCTACTCGAGTGTTCTGAATATTACGAAATGAATATTTTACTGATACCATTGAATACTAGTACATAAGTTATACCTTTCCTGGCCTCCGCCTCACAGAGTTATTGTCTTGCAATAAAATACACATACTACTAAGTGATTATTTTTTTCAATTTGATTCCCGAATTAGTGAAAATATGAACAGTTTTTGTAAAATGATGTTGAATTAAATGTACTCTCACATATCAATCAAGGATTAACGTTGGTGCGATCAACTTTTTATTTTGATTTGGTTTTCATGGTTTCTTTTTAACGTTGATTCATGCCAAACATATACTGACTGTTACTATGGATGTTGTGTACCAGGTACCTTTGGTCATCGATATCAACACCTTTCTGTGTCTCTCAATTACAAGAATATTTAAAAGAGGATTTTTTTTTACATTTACCAGTAACAATCCTGTAATTTTATGTTATCTAGTAAATGATCTGTTATACAAATAATTATCGTTGGTACAATTGACATTTTATTTTGATTTGGTTTTAGGGTTTCTTGTTTGATTCCTGCACAACAGATGCTGACTGTAAAAATGGATGTTGTGTATCAGCTACTTTTGGTCATCACTGTAATCATCATTTTTTAGCTCTCCATGCGGCGTGTCATCTTAGTAACAAAGAATACTCAACATGTGGTTGTGGACAAGGTATACACACGTTGTCGGTTGTTTCATAATTTGCACGCTTATATGTATATATCTTGTGTGTGGGAATCGTAGATGTCCATTTCTTGTTTTAGGTCATAAAAAATCTTGTTACTTGTTAAAGAACCGCACTGATTCCAAAAACAAATACACCCAAAGATGATTTAATCAAAATGCTGGACTTTTCGATCGATAAGATATTTGTTGAGTTCGGGGATTGATATTTCAAAAGAAATTTTGTATTTCAATTGGTACTACTTGTGCACCCTTTCTGGACAACTTGTTGTTGTACTCATATGAATCAGAATTCAAACAAATCTCCTCAAAGACAAAAAGAAAAAATCAAGAAAATTTCTTAAAGGTCACTTTCAGATATATTGGTGATTCCCTCTCACTTAATAACCCACATTTCAGTGAATGCTTACATTTCATATATCCAAGTGAACTTGAGATAAAGGATACTGCCAACACTAGAACGTCTGCTACATATATTGATCTTTTCCTCGATAGATATTTGTCAAATTGTCAACTTCCTATTTTTTTAACAGTAACATACCCTCTGACCCATGGTATTTCGTTTACATATTTCAATAGATTTTTTTCGCTCGTGAATGTTCACGCTATACGGATTTCATTAGCAGGGGTGTTCCCCTTTCCCTAAAACTGCTCCAAAAGAGCGTTGATCTCATGCGATTCCCTCAATTAATGTGTGTTACCTTGATTTGTCTTCTGAATCGATTTATAAGAGTTAAACATCGATAAACTACTGCCTTATTTTGACCCCATTTTCAGGAATGACTGACTGAAAATGGAAATGTGATGGTGTGAAACCAATACATTCTCGGGTTGAACTTTTAGGTTAAGAATGCCCACGCGTAACGTACCAGTTGAGATATATTAACGCCAAATACTGGGGTGGAGAATACCGTACTACTCAGAAATAAGAAGTTGACAATCGGAAAACTGAAATCAAAATATTTGTCATAGATTGCAGGGGTCTTTTAGTGAAAAATATCCAGACGCGAAGCATACCTTTAGTTTCTGCAGTATATTAAAGATATATGAGATGCAAGCACTTGCTGGAATGTGTGTTATTGAGTGACAGGATATCAATATATCTGAATGCGATACTACCGAATTTGGCAAGATGATTTTTGTTTTTGACTTTTGAGAAGGTTTTGTATGATTTCGGCTTCATATGAACACAAAGCTTAATAGTCCAGTAGAGTTGGACATTTAGTACTCATTGGAATACCGACTAACTATTGAACCATCGATCCATCGAACACGACATATATGATCTCGATAAGAATATACGACTTTTTATATGATATTGGCTTCGGTGTATTTGTTGTTGGAATCAGTGTGGTTCTTCACTTAGTATTTTTTTTTTGTGAGCTTAAATAAAACTTACGAATCCTATTTTTTAAAAGAACAAGCCAATATTTAACGTGAAAATGTATCCACCTTTCAATTGAGCATCAAATGTTTAGAGTTGTTGAAGCATTTAAATTATTGGGTTTAAAAATTAAGATTAGATGCTTAAAACAGATATAAGAAGATGTGGTATGAGTGCCAATGAGACAGCTCTCCATCCAAGTCACAATTTGTAAAAATAAACCATTATAGGTCAAAGTACGGCCTTCAACACGGAGCCTTGGCTCACACCGAACAGCAGGCTATAAAGGGCCCAAAAAATGACTAGTGTAAAACCATTCAAACAGGAAAACCAACGGTCTAGTCTATATAAAAAACGAGAAACGAGAAACACTTATGAACCACATCAACAAACGATAACCACTGAACATCGGGGTCATGACTTAGGACAGGTGCAAACAAATGTAGCGGGTTTAAACGTTTTAATAGGCACCAACCTTCATTCTACCTGAAACAATAGTGCAAAATTATAAGTTTTATGAATCAACAGCTGATCGATACCACTGAATATACATAAACACAATATTTTTGAAGGCCATCTTTACTGATGTAAGAATGGTATTGAGAATCGTAGAAATATTGATTGATTGTTGTCAGCTAAACGTTCAGAGGCAAACATTTCATGCATATTTAGGACGAATACAAATGATCAATGAATTTAACCCGTAGGTTAATTAGGTAGGCTCTGCAAAGTGGATCAACCTTGATAAAGAGCGAGAAATTAGGACGGCATGGAAAAATGAGGGCATGTTGATGAACATAAATTTTGCCTAGCAAAGGGCCACATACGAACTCGTCAATGATTTGTTGCAAGGGTTCTTTAGCGTGCAGAGAGCATGGCCCGTTCATTACATTATGCATCAGATATTCATACCGGATGTGGCTGTGCATTTATATATCCCCACAGACGAACGGGTGCTCCTTGCAGAGGAGTCATCCCCATAGACAAAAACAATTGCGACCATATCTATATTTTGTTGTACCCTCGGGGTTCAGAACATAGACATTGATAATTTTATTTCTATCTTGATGTTTTTATTCTCTAGGGGATGTGAAGTCCCAAAATAAGAACCTTGTTAATGTCTGTCAAATTATATATAGGTTTGGGGTGTGTGGTGTATTTTTATGGCAAATATTTTGTAGACATTTTGAATTCATTTACAACCTATCAAGAACCGGAATCTTTTCGAGCCAATCATATTGTATAAACTCCCTTCTATTGTTGAAGACCGGATATTGACCTCTAGATTTCTTTGGGTTTTTTTCGCGTCGTTTGGTTGTTGTCTTGTTGATGTTTCACCACTTCTCCCTTTCTTCGATATAAATATACAAAGCTGTACTATATAAGCAATTATTCAATTTATAGACAGAGTCTATATAATCCTGACATTGTTCAAACTGATATTTCATTAGATGCTACTTACATTTTATATTTTCCTGATATTATTTTCTTTCTATATATTTGAAAACTTTTTCCGGTCCTTTTTGTTTTTCTTTTAAACAAAATGTGAAATGATCTTTGTTTTCGAAATACAGTGTTTGAAATAAGTTAAGACATTCGATATTGCTATATCAAAGCCTCAAAGACGGCCACACGCAATTTGCACTTTCGGGAGACGATTATCAGTGAGTCTATGCCATATTACATCTTATGAAGAGTATAAGTTTCGAAAATGTTAGGACTAAAAATACACATTATAGAGTATATGTTTTAAATTTTTGTATTCTCTTGAAGGTTTAGTTTGCAAAGATCATATCGAGGGGTCTCAAATTGCTGTTGAAACCCGGCCAGGTTATGGATATTGTGAGACTGGAAACAAAACAATTTCCTCAGGAGGGGCTATAGCAACAGAAGGATGAGCATAACGTGCATTAAACTTATAAATTTCAAAGTAATGTTGTTTAAGTTTTGAATATTACCCTAAAGACGTTTCCGGTTTTATCCGTGAAAGCATCTTTTAAAATATGTATCTCTCTGTAAATTCTTATTTTCTATATTATTATATAGGACGCTAGACACAGTAAAGGTGGTGTTGCTACAATGTCACAGAAGCAGTGGTTCGAATCCCGCTGAGGGAAGAACAAACATTTTGCTAACGCAAATTTGCAATTCTAACATTGTGGGGCTAAATTTGAGACGAATTATATATATTTATTATGGTGTTAGCCCTGTATAACCACGGGTTATCCGATGGAGAATGTCCGTCATAGAGTTGTCACATGTTAAGAAGTATATATAGTAAAATGACAATTTGACGTGGGGCATGGTAAGTAACATTATCATCCTTTACGAAAGACAAAACATAACTGGTCTGAAAGGTACATCATCTCTACTTGCCACTATACACCATCATGTACTGTATTACATCCCTAGATACAACCGACGAGGAAAGACATTACTCGACTAACGAAAGCTATATTTCCATAGCCTAGTTGGTTGAGTGGTCTAGGGCGCTAGACACAGTGCAGGCGGTGTTGCCATGATGTTACAGAACCAAGGATTCGAATCCCGATGAGGGAAGACCAAACAAAAATTTGCTAACGCAAATATGCAGATCTATCATTGTTGGGCTAAATTTGAGACGAATTATATAAATATATATATATTATAAGCGAATATATAATGACAAACAGGGGTCACTTATGTCGTGGTCGTTCTGCTTCACACTTTGTTAATCGTAACACTACAAACCAGTAAAAGTCTGAAATGGCCTATATCTGTACTTGACTGTACTGATTTTTACTCGACCAGTCTGAATTGGTCTGAATTTTACTCGACATTACTCGACCCCAGTCTTAACCATATTCGACTGTACTGATTTGTACTTGACCTTTATCTTTGCCATTGAAAATAGTCTGAACTATTACTCGACCAGTCTGAAACAGTCTTAACCCATTCTCGACCTGTACTCGACCTATTTTTTCCAGTCTAAACCATACTCGACCAAAGGTCTGAACAATACTCGACCAGTCTGAACCATACTTGACCAAATAACCTCTACTTTTTCTAAATTTTAACTGTTGAAATAAATTTCTTTTTAACTGACATGACAACAGCCACAATAAAATAAAGATATATTATAAAACAGATTTTTACATTCTTACATGATTCTCAGATTTATCGAATAGAGATAGTTAAATCAAATTATCTTATATAATAATTTAATTATATTAATTTTAAAGTTTTAGAGTTTTGTTAAAAGAAGATTTTCTTTTACCTAAAAACCACACCTATACTGAGGGTAATTAAACCTTATTAAGGTGCTTCTTGTCTGGCATGTGTTTTTTTTTTAAATTAATTTTCCTAAATTCCCAAATAAAAACTACATAGGTTTCATGGTTACATACAAAAAATGTACAATAGTTATATAATTATCTTTTTAACGAGGTAACAACAGCCAACAAAATCACTGAAATTGTTTAACCTTATTTTAGAAATATATCTAGTATTATAATTTGGGATATATTATATACAATATATATCAAAAAGGGATAAAAATTAAAGAAATTAATAAAATTGTTCTTCTGATTAGTAGTGAAGTATAAAGTAATACCTCCTGCTTGGGGCAAAATCATGAAAAAGATCACACCTGGTCAGAGAGTATTAAATTCTAAATAACATTCATTCAAAATTGCAACATCCTGTGAAACTTAAATCGCAAGGCCTTTTGAATTCACTAGATAAGTAATACACGAGTTTAAGAAAAATAGGGCTTTCTTTTTACCTGTAAAACACATATGTACTGAGGTAATTAAACCTTATTAAAGTGCTTCTTGTATGCCATGTCTTTAATTTTGACAAAACTTATTTAAATTTAATTGAAATAAATTTTTACTGTAACTTTGGAACACATTTCCTTTTTCAAAAGTTTATCACAGGATTACTATAGAAGTTCTATTATCATGATTATATTAAATTCTTGGTTTAACAAAACAAAGGTGTCATTTTTCAAATTTATTAAGTTGCTTTATATGCTATTTTATAGATATTTTAATAAAAAAAATGTTCACTGCATTATTAACTAAACTCAACTGACACCACAAATCTATATGAGGCTTAAGTTAATGGTGAAAATTGTCCAGTAACCATAAAATATATCTGAAACATTCAAAAAATTTTGAATAACATTGAAAATATTAGTCACAATTCAGTTTTGAGATTATTTGATCAGCTTGTTTTATTTTAATTTTAAAGGTGATATATATGTAAGTATATAAGTGTTGATGAATATGGTGATGAAGCTATATTATGTTTATTGTGAAATTTTGGTTTCAATGCTATATTGAATACATTTTTAATTTCAAATTGTTGTTCAAATTTCTAGCCAGGGGAAATAGCTGTTGTTAAAAACAGTTCCTAAATTGATGAAATACAATAGATAGATACAAAAAATAGGTCTAGGTTGGTTAAGACTTGGTCGAGAATGGTTCAGACTAGGTCGAGTATGGTTCAGACTAGGTCGAGTATGGTTCAGACTAGGTCGAGCATGGTTCAGACGTGTATAAAATGGTTAAGTACTGGTCGAGTAAGGGTCGAGTACAAGTTCAGACTGTTAAGTATGGTTCAGACTACAGTCGAGTATTATCAAGTATATTTCAGACCAATTCAGACTGGTCGAGTAAAAATCAGTACAGTCGAGTACAGATATAGGCCATTTCAGACTCTTACTGGTTTGTAGTGTAAGAATTTGAAAAATTCTTGGCAGAATTCTACTGTGCTTGCTTATAATCTTCTAATACACACGAATTTGTGTACCTGTCTTTTAATTTTCACCCGAGTGATTTTGTTAGTGTACTGTACCAAAACTCGATCTTTTCTGCGTGTATAATTTTGTTAAATCCCATCGCCTTGAAAACGACTTTTCCCGCCACATTTGGACTGATTCTTCTACTTGACGTGAAGTTTTGAACCTGCTATGTTTTTGTTTATTTGACTAAATTTTGAAGTTTCCCCATATCAAAACATGGTCATCACCATTTCTGCTTCGGTGACATCCGGCGTCCTTACAAGATTATCACATTATTTTAAGTTACGAAAACACAATTATCGCACGTTCAAATCGTAGTCGTTATAATACTTATATGCATGCTTAGTGTCTAGTTTAAAGGATGATTAAAAAACACAATGCCTTTGGAACATGTGAACATATGACATGAACGCTTAAACATGAATATCCTATTCTATTTCTTATGAGGGACATCGGTGGCCGAGTGGTCTAAGTAGTCGAGCTCTTTTTTTTCTGTCAACACCCAGGTTGTGAGTTCGAATCCCGCAAGTTTTCCTACCGAAGTTCGGTAGTCCTCTTCGGGCACTCCGGCTTCATCCGCCAATAAAAAAATGACCGCCCCGAAAAAATGGCGCAATAGTGCTGAAAAAGGGGTTAAACACCAATCAATCAATCAATATATTTATTATGAAAAAATGTGTACTTAAAGTGAGACCAAACATTACAATAAGTGAACAAATCAACCGGAAGAGCTGTAGGTATATGAACAGCCTTCGTTTGAATGGTACTGCAAGTATATTAACAACCTCCATTTGAATAGTATTGTAGTTTCTTGTTGGGAAAATATGCGAATGCGCTATTCGAAGTGTATAATATAATTTGAACGGCAGAGATTTTCAATAGAAGTAATCAAGTTCAAACTGTACCGACTCATTACGGTTTAAGAAATTGAGAGGATTTACCCGAGCATATGAAATAATACAGTTATGAGTCATTTAAGGCATACCGTAGCAAGGAGCATAATTACACTCATTGATCTTAATTGAACTAAAGCTACTGAAACGTCTTAACCAAGATTATAAAGATATGGTGCATGCTATTAAAACATCAACACTCTGAAAGATTTCTTTCTCTACAAACTACGTCAAATCAGCATTTAATGTAGCATAGCCACAGAAATGATATTAGCCGATTGATTATGCTGGAGTTTCAGTACAAAACAGTCTGAGAGTAGAATGTCTGTCTCTCAAGAGTAAGATAACATTTACCTGCCTACCTGAAAATTTAAAACAGCCCTCCGCATGAATATTTGCTTTCAATGCCTTTATAAAATTTTTAATGCATCTTAACAAGTATGAATCGAACGTTGAAGTTGTCACTGACGTAATTATATAGAATTGTTTCACATATGCATTTAGATTTAAAATTTTGTAACAGAACTATTTTGAATTATTATTAAATTGAGAATGGAAATGGGGAATGTGAGAACAACCCGACCAAAGACAAGAAAACAGCCGAAGGCCACCAATGGGTCTTCAACACAGCGAGAATCCCTCACACGGAGGCGGGCTTCAGCTAGCCCTAAACAAAAATGTGTACTAGTTTAGTGAAAATGGACGTCATACTAAACTCCAAAACATATAAATGAACTAAAATTAAAAAAACATACAAGATTAACAAAGGCCAGAGGCCTTTGACTTGGGACCGGCGCAAAAATGCGGCTGGTTAAACATGTTTTGTGAGATCTCAACCCTCCACCTATACCTCTAGCCAATGTAGAATAAACAAATACACAGCAATACGCACAGTAAAACTCAATTTAAAAGAAGTTCGAGTCCGAACTCAGAATAGGTAACAAAAGAAACTAAGCAAAATGACAATGATACATAAATTAACAAAGGACTACTAGCAGTTACTGACTGGCCAGCTACAGACCTCAATTAAACTGATTGAAAGATTATGTCTTCATCATATGAAAATCAAGCACAATCCCTCCCGTTAGGGGTTAAGTATCATACCATCATAAAATATATGAAAAGAACATAACCCGTATCATGCCAACAACTGGTTTTAGAATTAATGTGTTTATCTCCGATGCAAAGACCCTATGAGTGAATCAATATTAACACCAAAATATGCCATCTTTAATGACCTGAAAACAGTATCGTA